CCTCGTTACAGCTCTGTGATAGGTGCTTTGTCACAAGGCAGTTGCTTTTTGTACACTCCAGCAAGCCTGTGGAGATGCTCCGCAGCCCAAAAACTGGCCAGAATACTGGCACTACTTACTGCCTTGGCTTTGACGTGAAGTAACCGCTCAGCAATCAATTTATTTTTTAATAGTGGAATGAGTATTTGTTTTGGTTTCTCTAGCTAGAGAGAAATGGGTGATCCAAGCTTGTTGCCTTCGAGACAGTTTCACGTTCCTACACCCTAGTAGTATCTTCTTGATGTCCTCTCAGCCAAAGGCAGATGGTATGAATTGGTTATTGAAGGTGTTTGCCTCCATTCATTTGTAAAAGAGAATAAATTGAGCTCAGAACAGAATCCAGCAGTTGCTTGACGAGAGGTTGGAGGAGCTGAAGTCCGTCATCAGCCCATCCCACTCCCCAAAGGAGCATTGGTGCTCCTTGCCTTTCACTGCCATCTGTCTTCACTTTGTGAATCTGTGTGATGAAAGTCTGGATTTTCGTTACGTTCTTTTTCCAGTGAGTATCTGGGGAGATCTGAAAGAGGAGGTGTATTTTTCAGTCTTCTTCACTAACCCTGTGTAGCGCTGTATCTCGTTGATGTCTTTTGTTCATGCTCTGTGTGTGAGGCAATTTGAGATCCTGCTCTGCTGCAGGTAGTTCAGCAGTATACACAATTTAGTGTAGGGTGTTTTGAATCTGGCAGTAAGTGTGTTTTTCCAGACTAGGAAAAACTTGAGGTATGACAACAGCTACTGGTAGTGTGGAGTAACAGCAGTTGAAGTGTCATTTGTTTTCAGGGCTGAAAGGATGCTCGGATACTCCCTGTGCAAACAGCGACAAGTGGCTACCATCTCTGTCCCCAAATGCTAAATGTCTGGTTCACATCACTTCTTATTATGAAAGAGTGACTTGCATGTCATCCCACCTGATCAAATCTCCAGCAGCCTAGCCTCCAGCAGTCCTTCATCTCTGATACGTGTGCCATTTTGTAAAGTGATTTACATACACTTTTCCTCCCAGCAGTATCGATAAAGTTCCAGGCACTTTTAACTGTATTTTACAACCAGGAAACACCGATGATATTTGTTACGCTGAAGCAGTGTGTGTCCTTGAAAGCATGAGTCCTTCCCACTCGCTGGTTCTTTTCTGTTGCTGATGCTTTCAGGAGACAGAGAAGTGAATATAATTTTGTAAGCATAACTCCCCCCCCAACTTCTATTTCAATTGCTTAGTAAGTCTTTTGGGAGGTAGGTTTAATGAAAGGAAAGAAACACTGCAAAACTTGCATGCTGCTTTATTCGCTGTAAACAGGTAACCAGGGAAAACCAATTGACCATAGTGGTGGAGTGGATTTAATATTAACCTGTCAGTTACTGCATGCAAATTCTCTTTATTGAAAGTCACGATTTCGTAGTCTTACAAGAACAGGGGAAAAAAAAAAAAGCACTCTTGCTCCCATTGTTAGTGCGATTAGTGTAGCAACAGATTTTTCCATCCCCTGTGTTGCTCCAGGCTTTTTCCACAGCTTCCATGTGAATTGTGCGTCGAGATTATTTTTCTGGCTTACATGCCGTATTTTTGATAATCGGCGTATTGTGGGAAAGTGCGTACTGGAAACTTGCATACCACTGTCCTTTCCAGCAAATGACTTGTTTGTGTCCCAGACGCGCTGATCAGCCTGCTGCTTCTCTAATATTAGTACTTTACTAGCGCTGGGTGAACCATTTTTAGCTGATCATCTACTTAACAGGTTTCACTACTGTCTGCTCATAAATTCAGCTTTTGAGAGGAGAGTAGTTACACCAGGAATTTAATTTTTTTTTTAAAGTATATTCTTTAGTATATCAGTTAATCCTATCCTGGTTCGCTGTAAATGTCGACTTGCCACTGGGACTATTTATCAGAACTGTCTAGACCTTTTGTTAATGGAGAATTCATTGCCGTTCTCTGCCTTGGCTCCAGAAAATAAAATTACTTTAGTTTTTCAATTGACTTGATAAGAGCTTTCCCCATCCTCAATTTTTGTCAAACACACAAAATCTGTTTCTGTGCGTAGGTTGCTATCAGGGAAGATGACAAAAGTTGACTGGTCTTGGCTATCAGTCGGTGTTTTGGGTGCTCCCTTCTTCCTGAACCGATTGTGACGTTTTCAGAGGGACAATGTCTTCCTCTTTCATTCTGATGTCAGGAATATAATCAGTATTCAACCAGCTTAATGAAAAACATGAGATTTTTCAAAGTGGAGGAGCAGATACCTGGTTTGAAGCCAGCTTTGTGAGCTGCTTTGCAGAAGCCCTCTTATCTCCTTTTCTGGTAGATTGAGCTTTGTGAGCCAGCTTTGTGAGCCCTCTTATCTCCTTTTCTGGTAGATGTTGGAGACACTGTGAGTTTTATTGCCTCTTGTATGGTTCTTGTGGCAACAGGATGGTCAGTCGTGGGTTCTGCCAGAGCAGAGGGATTTGAGGGTCTCGGTGCGTGTGGGTGGACTATGCTTTGTGCTAAGTTCAGTCGCAAGGGGTCATGGCAGTCTGGTTTTGAATTCATAACTTGTTCAGGGTGTGCCTCTGACGTGGTTAGTCTATTAACACTGAGATCTTAAGAAGCAGCTTATCTTTATACAGGAGAAGTCCTCTTATGAAAAGTACAGCGTCGGTATTGTCTGTGGGAAGAACTCTGTGGTTCCTCAGCGATGTTTTGGAGAAGGGATTGAGCAAATCTCCTTTGGCATTAATACTGGGAAGTTGACACCTGATGCCCAATAACCTTTGATGCTTTTTTGCTTCGAGCTCATCTGTTGCTGGAGAACGTTGTCTTGACTGAGGTCTCTGGCTGTGCAGCTGGAGGCATTGTAACAGCCATACCCAAAATGTTAACGACGCTCACTGCAGTAGACGAGTACTGACTGTGATAACTTTCTTCCGAATCCACGGAGGTGCACACATCTTAAAAATACTACCAAAGCATCAGCAGCTTGAATTGTAGTTTGTAAGCATCCCCAGAATAAAGCAGAGACAAGACTTTGCTCTTCAAAGTTAGTTTTGCATTGGACTAAAACTGTCGTCTTTTTGTCATGAAGAAAACTTGAGCAAATTCTGAGGCTGTGCCACTGATGGAAACAGTTTGATTCTCTCATCTCTCCCCCTAACTTGCCAGCTTTACCCAAAGCCCAAATAAATGGGCTGTGTTAAACCATTTTGAAGTAGCGCATAGGAGATATGATTGTCCTGTGTTTCTAAAGATGAAACAAGGCACTACATGATTGCAAACATGAGTGAATTTCTCTGTAGTTTGTTGATGACTTCATGGACTCCCACTGAGCAACTTCAAACCAAAATCGAAACGAAATAACAAAAAGAGTGATTATTTCAATATTGCTGATTTTTTTTTTTCCATCCAAAAGGGGACAAAACTGCAAGTCTGAAGAGCATTTGCATAGTAGATGTTTTTAGGATAACTTACAGCAATTTTATTTATTTATTTATTTTTAAATGGAGTCTTCAGGAAATGCAAAAATCTTATCTGGCTAGTTAATACTTGGACATCTATGTTTAAAATTAAGTCGTGTATTTACTGCTAGCAAAGTTTCCCTGTGGAAGGGTTGCTTCAATGTTCTGTTCAGGCAGCTTTTATGCTGCCTCTTCTGCAGTGGAAGCATAGTCAAGGATGCCTTTGTTTTCAGCAGCATTTTGTTTA